CGGCGACGAGGCGGCGACGGGGCGGCGACGGCGGCAACATAGCCGCTTGACCGACAGACAGGCCCAGACGACGGCCGGCGACGAGGCGGCGACGGGGCGGCGACGGCGGCAACCTGGCCGCTTGACCGACAAACAGGCCCAGACGACGGCCGGCGACGAGGCTGCGACGGGGCGGCGACGGCGGCTTCACCGACAGGCAGGCCCAGACGACGGCCGGCGACGAGGCGGCGACGGGGCGGCGACGGCGGCAACCTAGCCGCTTGACCGACAGACAGGCCCAGCCAGACGACAGCCGGCGACGAGGCGGCGACGGCGGCAACCTAGCCGCCAGACCGCCAGGCAGGCCCAGACGACGGGCGGCGGCGGGGCGGCGACGGCCGGCGGCTGCGGAAATATAGCCGCCAGACCGACAGGCAGAGGCGCCAAGTGAGAACCCCCAAGTGCCAGCACGATTTGAAACATGTACGTACGCAAATGCATACGCACATGTGTCTAGATGCAGATAAAGATACAGATCTGGCCAAGAAACAGAAGCACGATCCTCAGTCCCTTCGAAGATCGAGGATCGAGGGCCGAGGATCGAGACTCGAGGTCTGAGGCCTGGGGCTCGAGGACCACGGACTCTGCTGCGATGTTGTTGCGCCCGTGGGGCCCTGTCGCGGGCCTCTGAAGGGCTGTCTGGGGCGGCCCCCGCGAGAAGCCTCCCGCCCCCCGCCGCCCCTGGGGCCCTCGCCAGCGGCGGACCGCTTCTGCACAGACCTCAAACATCCTGGGGACGAAGAAGGCGGAGGCCTTGCGCCCGTGACAATATCTTCGCCAGAATCACCCAAATCCCTGCTGGTAGCGGCGGCTCAAAGATGGGGCTCCTGGGGATGGCGCCCTACGGATAGGAGGGGAATCTCAAGCTGGACCTTCATTGTTTGAGGCCCGCATCCCTCAAGGCCCATCTTTGGTCTGCCGATGGGACAGGGTAAGGTGGCTCTCACAGCATAGACCCCCCCTTGGCGGGGATGGGCGCTGCGAAACCCGGAGGGAACGGCACCCCTCCCCACCTAGGAAGGATGAATCGGCGGGCGGGGGCAAGGTTTCCCCGATGGGGGTGGGGATGTTTCTACTCGCCCAAACTGCTCGGCCTCCTGATGCTGCTTCTGGGCTCCAGGGCCGTCTGACAACGGCCCGGGACGAAGAACCGGCCCCAGGGAAGAGGTCGGGACTTCTAGGGGGGGCCCGTAGGGAAAAGGATCCCAACCTCGGAGGTTCGACTGCCTCTCGGGCCGAGCTTGCGCCATGCTGGAGGCAGCTGCGCCCTGCGCCCTGCCCACTTACGGTCAACTTGTTGTTTGCTTGGCGTGTCGCGGCGGCGGCCCCTGCGTCACGGCCATGCCCTGCAAGCTGACAGCGTGTCGCTATGCCTACTGGGGAGGGGGCGGAGGAAAGCTCGGCACGCTGGTGCCTGGAGACGTGCCGCGCCGAAGCGCGGTGGGCCAAAGCCAGCGGCGCGACACGCGAAGCAAACGTTCCTGACCGCACACACCGCACAATTACCGCGGCTCCGCCGTGCCCACGAGGTCCCACGGCCCTCTTCCTCCGCAGACGCTCCTCCGGCAATTCTCGTGCCCGGCGCCGCCCGCCCCCCCAGAGCCAGCACGGCGACGGGGGCCCAGCGGCGAGCTGCAAAGCAAGCAGGCGCGGAGACTAACGGGGGGTAAGGCGACCCCGAACCCCGAATCCCACCAGCCCTTGAGGGGGTAGGCGGTTCACGGCGCTTCCCCTGACAAACCCCTTGTTCCGCTTCGGAAAAGGGGTTCACCACTGGTCCTTGTGAAATTACACCCCCTTCCCCCACCCGACCAGCGACAAACCCAGGACAATGCCAACACACCCACCATCCCTTGCACAAAAAAAACATTACAAAGCGCATTTGGCACCAAAGTCCGGTTCATGCGCGGGCGCCCCGCAATCAATTCGCATTGGCTTTGATGATAAATGGCTGCCGCGGGGGTCGGCATATTGCCTGCTGCGCACAATACCAAAACCCGTCACCATCCCTTGCAAAAACCTATACAACATGTAATTTGCACAAAAATCTGTAATTTTGCGGACGCCCTACGATCAATTCGCGTTGGCTTTTGATCAGGGACGGCGGGGGGGCTGGCATGTTGCCTGCTTCGTGAAGGCCTAGCATCCCTTGCAACTGAATATGCAAAATCCACGTTGCCAGGGACGGCGGGGGGGGGGCATACAGCCTGTCTGCTGTGAGCAGTCCAACCATACCTGTCAAAAGCAAATGCAAAGTGATTGCGTGTGCACACCTACACACACAATAGAATGCTCGAAAACCCGCCGTCCTTTTGCACTGGATTTTGGCAGGCATGGTAGGGGGTCGACACATGAGCACCTGGTGCGCGTGGCGCACCTGGCACGCGCGGTGCACCTCGCGGGTTTCGCGCACCTGGCTGGCGTCTGCATTGGTTCCCAATGGTTATCATTGGCGGCCCCTGCCTATGCTGAGACTCGTGTGCCACGTATGTAGTGGGAGGGTGGGCGGGAGTGAGCGAGCGAGCGAGACAGCTTGCGGCATTCTCGCTGGGAGCTTGACCATTGCTCCCTATTAATGAACACCCCCTCCTCCACCCGACCAGCAGCCAACCCGGACACATGAGCTCTCCTGCACCATCTGTCTCCAAACCACTACAAAATACACTGTCCCTCCAAGTCTAGGTCATGCGCGGACGCACCGCGGTCACCTGAATTGGTTTTGTTAGAGGCGGCGAGGGGGGGGGCATATTGCATGCGGCGTGCAGTGCCAGCACTCCCCAACATCCCTTGCAAAACTCCATATACAAAGTGCAAGACGCACCGAAATCTGGATCATGCGCGGACGCCCCGCGATCACTTCCCATTGGTTTCTGACAGGGACGGCGGGGGGCCAGCATAGTGCCTACTTTGTGCAACGCCAGCACCCCACAACCACCCCTGTCAAAAAAAATAAAGCGCAAGTTGTGGCATCATCTGGATCACGCGCCGGAGCCAAGCGATCAAGTTCCTTGGTACTTGGACACGAAGTAGGTACCAACATATTACCTGCCGCGCGCAGACCCATTATCCGTATCAAAAACAACAATACTAAATGTAAACTCCAGCAAAGGTCATGCGCGGGAGCTCCGCGATCCCTTAGCATTGATACTTGACACGGATGTTGGGGACGCCTTTGCACGCGCGGCGCACCTCGCGGGCGTCGCGCACCTGGCTGGCGTCTGCATTGGTTCCAGATCATGGTCGATGGCGGCCCCTGCCCATGCTGAGACTCGAGCGATACTTATGTGGTGGGAGGGCGGATGGGGGTGAGTATGACGGCCGTCCTTCGGGGAGGGAAGCTTGACTCCTCTCCCAGCGCCCCGCGGGCCATTAGAGCGTCCAATATGGCCCCAGCGAGAAGGTAAAACTCATTGGTTTTCCTCCGGTTTCGGGTGCGTGCTGACCTCCTGGAGGGCGATGCTGTTCGCGGGCCCCCTACTCTTTGATCGACCGCCTCCAAGATGGCCCCCAAGACGGCTTGACAAGCAATCTCCCTCTCTCACACACCATATGCACAGCAGCAAGATGCCATAGTCTTGGCTGCTGACAAGAGAAATAAACGGTTTCTAACAGCAACAATGGTCGAGCGAAGAGTGGTCGCGCATAAGACGCTCACAAGACGACGTGTGCAGGAGAACGAAGCAAGAGAACGCGAATCGACGCCCAGATTCTGACACCAGAGCACACACACATACACAAAGACCGCACAAGACATCCCGCTCAAGACCTCGCAAAGACCTGTAGGACCACCCTTTCTGTTAAAAATCGTACTCGGGAGCGCCGCCAGGATTACGGCGTCGCCGGCGCGTCTGGACACGAGGCGGCCGAGGGGGCCGCCGCCCAGACTGGCGGCCACGAGAAGCCAGCGGAAGCAGGCAACGGACGACGAGAGCCGCACGGCCCGCCAGCCCTGTGCGCGCAGCTCCGGCCTGCAGTGGAGGCCAGTCCACGCGAAACCCTCCACGAGAAACCCAACCCTGAGACCCCAGGACGACCATTGGTTTTTGGTGTGGGAGCGTCACGATTTCCATCGCACGACCATCGAAACCCCAGAAACCCAGGGCACCCTGGAGAGAAGCCGGGTATTTCTTGGCATGGGTCTCCACTGTAGCTCCGGCCCGAAAAGCTCTCAAAGAGGGCCCCAAGAGGGCCCCAAGAGGCCATCCAGAGACACCCCAAGAGACCCAAGGAAGCATCCCAGGGGCCTCGAGCCCACACAGGTCCCCGACATCTCGAAAGAATGCCACGTTCCCCCCTTCAGGGCAGCTCCTACGGGCATCGTGCCTGGATGGGCTGGTGGAGATACTTTTTGATCAACATTGGTCAACAGGCTCGCGAGGCGGGTCGAAAGCCGTCCGAACACTAGTCGGGCCGCGACTAGGCTGCAGGAAAAGAAAGGCAAGCGAAGCGAGCGAGCGGACAGCCACTCAGAATGAGAGCCAGAACCGATACTCCCAAACCTGGTGGCGTTGGAAATCCCGGTGGCGACCAGCAAGTAAGCGCAGCCAAAATGGCGCGGCGGCGCGACCATAAACACGAAGAGGTCGATCGCTCGGTGTGAGTCAAACAACACCGTCAGAGACGAACTAGACCGACAGGCACACCCAGACGACATCCGTGAAGCAGCCGACACAAATGCCAAAACATCGTGTCGGCGCAAGAGTGAAGAGGGGCAACCTCATGCTGGTGCGGATACGCGAAGTGTTAAGAACTTGGGTTGTCGGATAGACCCAAAAATGTGGCCGAACTCTCAAATAAACGACGGGGGTGCACCCATCCTCAACAGGGGTGCGTCCTAACAGTCTCCCAGGGGTGCATCCCCGAGTTCCTGGTATTTCCCGAGCGGTCAGTTTGTGGAGGGGGAACTCGGGGATTGGGGGCGAGGAATCGACTGCGAAAAACTGCCAATCGGGAAGAGCGTCCTGCGAGACCACCAGCGTGGCCCTGTGGACCCGGAGCTCGAACGCCTGCGCCTCCACCCGCTTGCCGAAGGCTTCGCGGCGGATCGCTCGCACCTTTGCATGAGAGCGCGGGCGCGACTCCCTCAGAGGGCGGACGCGGGGGCGTGCCCCAGCCCCACTGGCTGGAGGGCTCCAGAGGGGCGCTCTGGATGCGGGCCCCAAGAATATACACCACCACCACCTCCATTCCTCTCCCCTCTTCCATCCTCTTCCTCTCCTCCTTCCCGGGAGGTGGTGGTGGTGGTGGTGGTGGTGGTGGTGGTGGTGGTGGTGGTGGTGGTGGTGGTGGTGGTGGTGGTGGTGGTGGTGGTGGTGGTGGTGGTGGTGGTGGTGGTGGTGGTGGTGGTGGTGGTGGTGGTGGTGGTGGTGGTGGTGGTGGTGGTGGTGGTGGTGGTGGTGGTGGTGGTGGTGTGGTGGTGGTGGTGGTGGTGGTGGTGGTGGTGGTGGTGGTGGTGGTGGTGGTGGTGGTGGTGGTGGTGGTGGTGGTGGTGGTGGTGGTGGTGGTGGTGGTGGTGGTGGTGGTGGTGGTGGTGGTGGTGGTGGGTGGTGGTGGTGGTGGCGGTGGTGGTGGCGGTGGCGGTGGTGGTGGCGGTGGTGGTGGCGGTGGTGGTGGTGACGGTGCTGGTGATTGTGGTGGTGGTGGCGTATATTTTGGGATTCCGTACTGGAGAAAAGGGGCACGCAGATCCGGGCTGGAGCGCAGGAAGCAGCGGGCTCCCGAAGCGCGGCCTTCTCCGCAGAAGCTGGACAACATCGAGCCCACCGAGGTGACCGAGGGCGCTGAGGAATGGGACGGAGTCCTCCAACGAGCGTGGAAAGCCCCGCGGGGAGGGCTGGCCCGCCCCCCCCGCCCCGAACGCGCCGAGAGGAGGCGGCCACGGGCACAGATCTAGGGCAGCACGGCGGGGACAGGGGTCGCCTGGTGCCAGTGCCCTGTTCCGCTCGCCCGACTGGGCGGCAGGGGGCGGGCACGGGCACCGAGCGCGCATTCGCCTCCGTGCTCTCCTCAATCGCTGTCGGTGCCCAGTGCGGCCCAGCCCGCGGGGGGGCAGGGAAGACCTGGGGCCGCGCACAGCCAGCCCCCAGAGATGCCAGGAAGCTCTGGATGCATGACTGGACCATGTGGGGCCCCGCGCGGGATGCACGTGCAGAGGACTGGCGTGTACCTGCCATAGCATGGCCGAGCGATGGAAAGACACACGGCCACATGTGGACGATTCCAAAGACCCCGACTCCCAAACAGATTGCGTTTCGCTTTTGTTTCCGCCGTTTTTTCCGCATCCGGAGACCCTGAGTGACCACATACCAACGGCCTCCCTTGTTTCGAAGCACCAAATGCCTGGGAAAAATATATGGGCACATAACACGGGCCGTTGCGGAAACCGTGGATCCACAAACAAATGCATCTCTTGGGGGGCGGGCGTTGCTTCCGCCAGCTTCCGCCAGCGGAGGCACCTTTGTTCTCCCGCCAGCTTACACCGCCCTTCGGCAGCCGTCCGCCGAGGAATAGATGTCAACCTCTCGATCCCTCGAAGGCTAGGCCCTTTCTGGAACGCCCTATGTGGGCATATGTGACCCGCCGATTCCTGGCTGACGCTGTAGTTCGGCGACGACAGGCGCGAGTCCATCAGCAGAGTCCAGCACCACCACCAGGCCTTCAGGCTGAGCCGATGGCACATGCCTGCGCTGGTTGGCCAGCTGCGGGCTTATCCCTCTTTGGGGAGGGGAGGCTGTGGGGACGGTCGTGACGGGACTCGGCCCAGTGAACTCACAGCATTTATTGCCAGAGGATCGCACAGTTCCCTACCCTCCTCTGGGCCCTGTAATTCATCAAAGGTCCCTTAGAGAAGCAGGCACCGCCTCGGTGAGCTTACTCCAAACCGCCGCGGCGCAACCCGCGCCTGCTTGGCTGCAGCGCCTCTACACACGCTGCACTGCAAGCGAGGAACTCAACTGTGGGACAACCCTGCACTAATGACCATGTCGACGAAGGCTCGAATACACTCTAAACGTGGCCGCAAGAGTGTACGTAGGTACAAGAGCACGAGCTCCTTTGCCGAAGGCCCATGGCCCGACTGAGACGCCCCGAACGAAGCGCATTTCCAAGGTGGAGAGCCCAAACACGAATAACGTGCGGGTGAAGTGCGACCGGATCATAATGATGCGCGTCCGGACGCAAGGCCCTTGGACGCCCAAATTGAAGCCGAGGTTGAGTATCCATGGCCACCAAGTGGCATTGGCAAGGATGAGCACAGAGTGTGGGTACAGGGAGACGGCCGAGGGGCCGTTCCTGTACAGGGTCCGTAGGTAGAGGCGAGGAGTGGAACTCCTTTTTCCGAGGCACTGCGCAGCAAGCAGTGCTTCAAGGATAGTTAGCCAATACCTGAGCCAATACAGTTGCAGAAGGGATGTAATAGGGAAGTGAGCGGACTTCACACACACACACACACACGGAGGCCTGGATGCAAATACACCCTCATAGTGCGGCTTGTCAGCACCCCTCAGAGGCTGGGGACATTCTTCAATTCCGTGCCGGCTGCACGGGAAGCACGAGGTCGGCACGGCCCGCCCGTGAGCCAGCAGGGGCCGAGACCAGCGGCGCTTCCAGGGGGAAGCCTCGGATGGCAACCGGCGGGATGGACGCGATCTGTGCGCGCGCGCCCCTGAGCACTCGAGTCAGCACCGAGGGAGAGGAAGAGGGAGAGGGAGACAGAGAGGGAGAGGGAGAGGGGGAGAGGGGGGGAGAGTGAGAGAGAGAGAGAGGAAGAGCAAGGGAGGCGACGACGACGACGACGACGACGATGACGACGACGACGACGACGACGACGACGACGACGACGACGACGGACCTGAACCCCGTCGCTCGTGGCTTCAGTCACGTCCTCGGCGGCGGACTCGCCCACGGAGATCCAGCGCCCCAGGGACGGGCCAGGGGACGTCACCTCTCCGCGCGGACGCGCGCGCGCCTCCTGCCCCTCGAGGGTCAAGGAGAGTCCTCCTCCTCCTCCTCCTCCGCCTCCTCCTCCTCCTCGTCCGCCTCCTCCGCCTCCTCCGCCTCCTCCGCCTCCTCCGCCTCCTCCGCCTCCTCCTCCGACTCCTCCGCCTCCTCCTGCTCCTCCGCCTCCTCCTCCCCCTCCGCCTCCTCCGCCTCTCCTCCTCCTCCTCCTCCTCCTCCTCCTCCTCCTCCTCCTCCTCCTCCTCCTCCTCCTCCTCCTCCTCCTCCTCCTCCTCCTACCCTCGGCCACGACACCAAGGGTGCAGGGCGCTGCACGGATGCCCCACGCTGAGCGATTGCCACGGACCGCGAGTCGCCTCGGTGCCCAGACCGCGAGGGCACGTATGCGGATATGTCCGCCGCTCGTGACTCGGCGCTTTCTGGCGACGGAGCCCGCCTCGGGGAAGCTGGAGGCCCCGCAGGGCAGGGTCAGTCAGCATCGAATCGGGAAATCGGGTCGAATCGGAATGTGCGTCGGATCGGTCTGAATCGGCAATCGGCACGCAGTCGCAAACAAATCGAATCGGCCGCGCCAGCATGCGCGACAGCGCGAGGCACCGTGCCATACGGAACTGTCGGAATGCCAGAATCGGATCGGATCGAGCCGGCCGAAACCGACACCTAATCGGAGGGATCGGATCGAAACGGGCCATGCCTGGCGGCTGGGTAGTGGCCGCGGCCCTCCTTCGCCGTCGCGGCACAGGCCCCTGGGGACCTCGACTCCTTCCCCAGGGCCGGCTTTCCATCCTGAGTCGTTCTTGCACGGCCCCGACTCCAGGAAACGGCCTCCAGGGCCCGAAGACGTCCCGAAACTGGCCGTCACGACTTGTTGCATCGCACCGTTCTGAGGATGTTGCCCAGGAGCTCCACGGGAGCGCGCACGAGAGGTCGCATCAATGGGCTGCGGGGCGAGAAGGGGATGCGGGGACGACCGTCTGGGCGCACGATGGCTGTGGAAAGAACTTGTTTCTGCTGCTCGCGCTGTGGCTCGCGCAGACCTTCACAGCGCGATGATGCGGCCATCGTGCGACCGTGGGACAACGCCCCCTAGGGAACGGAAGGGGCTGTTCTGGCCACGGCGAGCCTCGGCCACGAACAGCTCCCCAAGCCTAGAGCTGGGGAACGGCCCGAAAACTAGAGCCCCTCCTGAACCCGAAGCGGTCCTTGTTTCAGCGTCTTGACTGTGCGGGCCTCCTCAGAAGGAATCTCCAGACGCGCATTTTGATGCCATGGGGCGCGATACTATGGGTCGCTGGTCCCAGTGGGCGCGATTCAATGCTGAGAGGGAGATGACGGATTCCGGACACCCGCGCGTGCAAGTCAAGGATATTGCGCCAGCATCAGAATGGCGCTGTCCCTCCGACTACTGATCATAATAGCTGTCTGCTCATGTTGACGGGTGTTGCAGTTTGTTCGAACTTCACCTCGGGCTGGTCGCCGGGGGTGGCGCTTGGTCGCTCGCGCCGTGGAAGCCGAACACAGAGAGCTAAAGTCGGCCCTATGAGCGTTGCCTGGGCCAGCCTGCACAGGCAACTATAACCAAGTGCACCAGTGGACTCAAACGGTTGAAACCAGGATTGCCGCCACAACCCATGGGAACGCAATCCCCTGCACCCCTCCACAGCTAACCAGTTGTCACCGCAAGACGCATTACGGCAGACGAGAATACAGGCACATAAACACGCAAGCGCGACACCATGTAAGCACAATCGCGAACACCCACATATATTCATATATACAGGACTGCGTTAACGCTTCGCGCCACGCACCTTGGTCCTTCAAGCTTCGCATATGTTGGCACTTGGCGTCATTATCTTTGGCCTTTGAAAGTTGGCCCTCTCCTTTCAAGTCCCCTTACCCGTTCCTTATTTGCTCTCGCCCTCGATTTACATGTTCGTGCGCAACCCGATTTTTTCTTGGGGTGCGCTGTGATTCGAAATCGAGGCGGACCCGATGACGTGGCGACAAGAACGCCACCTGGAGGCTCCGAAGAAACGTTGAACCAAAGTCGCGTGCTCTCTTCGCTTGATCCTGCGCCGGCAGGTGTCGTAACGGCCTGCGCGTCGATTTTTGACGCCGCTTCGATCGTTCAGCCGTGAACGATCGCGCATTCCCGTTCAACACCAGCCGATTCCTGACCACTGGCCTCGTTTATTCCGAACGCCCGCGCCGGTGTCGCCACGTCGCCACCGCGTCGACACGGCGTTAACCTACCGTTGCGGAGGAAAAGTTGTTTCTTAGGGGCCGCATTCTCCACTCCAGGATCTGTTGTTCAGGCCCTGCGGGTTCAGCGTCTTCTAGAGGCCGACGTCGAACCCAAACCTCCGAAGATTGCAGAAACTCCAAGGAGCCTGGCGGCTCCCAGCGGCTCCCAACGGCATAAAGCCAACAAATCTATGAGCTGTCGTAGGCCCCGAATTGTGAAGTGTTGAACTCCGGCGGTGAAGTTCTGCGGCTCAAACTATGTGATGTGAGCGATGTTGTGGCAGCCACGTGGTCTGAGCTATGCGGTGAAAGGTCTTCGGTGTTAGCTATGTGGTGGTATACGTCGTTCATTTCTAATCGTGCTCTTTTCTAACTGTGCTCGTTTCTAATTGTTCCTGGCCCCCTACTGGCCAGGAAGAGGCCCAGGATAGAATAATTAGAAATGAAAGGATCCTGGCCCACTAAAAATCAAAGAACTTTCGAATACTTAGAAATGAACCATGTGAAATTATGTTTATAAACTATGTATTACGGGCGATGCCGTGGTATCTCCAGGATGTAATTAGCTATATGGTGCAGGACAGGTGGTAAGAACAATACGTTGGGAACAGCGTTGTGGAAGCTGTGCGAAGAGAACAGACCGGTGTCAGCTACATGGCGTGGGGCTCACGAGCGCCGACGATGCAGCATGGGCGGGCACGTCTTTTGCGGAGGCTCCTCGTTGGAGAACCTCTTGCGGGCCTCACGAATGCCTCTTAAGGTCGTTGGGGACCTCTGGAGGCCTCCTGGGCGCCTCTCTGGGCCGTCTTGGGGGTCCTTTTGAAGATCGTTTGGGCCGTCTTGGGTCCCTCTTGGGCCGTGCTGGGGCCTTCTTGGGGAGTTTGGGTGGTCCTGTACGGGCCTTCTTGGGATCATTCTGGGCCCTCCTGGGGAAGTCCCATGGCCCTCGTGGGTCTCTCATGGGAGCCGTTGGGGGCCTCGTGAGTTTCTTTCGGGCCGTCATGGGGCAGTCTTGAAGCCCTCTTGGGGGCCTCTTGGGCCATCTTGGGGCGATCTCGGAAGCCTCTCGGGCCGTCGTGAACGCTGCTACGACACAGAAAGCGAAGATGCTGAAATATACGTTTCCCCATGGGAATGGGAAGATGCTTGCCTCTCGGGGGCGCTCCTGAAGACCTCTTGAAGCGTTTTGGGGGCCTCTTGGGCCGTCTTGGGGGCCTCTTGGGCCGTCTTGAGGCCGTCTTGCGCTGTCTTGGGGCTCTCCTGCGCCTCTTCGACCACTTCTCATCGCTTTGGGTCTGCTGGGCAATGCCCGGCGAGGCGCCCTGGGAGGCGCGGCAGGGCTGGGGGACCTTTTCCAAGTGCGTCCAAGGGGCCCCAAAGCCCTGGATCCCGAGGAGTCCGGTTTTGGGGGGGGAGGGTTTCTCCCGCCCCCCGGCTTGCAAAAATAGAGGTAGAGGAATAGCATACATGTATGTGTATACACTGGACGGGCACTCAGACGAAAGCACTCGTACGAAGGCCATGGCGCATACAAGCTCAATAGCCCATGGAACAGACATACTTCCGTATCCTGATTGGCTTCTCCTTTACTTTTCCATGCCACAAGAGACCTGTCAGGCGAGGCATGTTTCGACGTAGCTAACTGCCTGAGCCATGATCTTGGAAGGGTTCTTCTCACCACCAGCAACTCGAGACAGCGTTGTTTCCAAGTAAGGGCCAATGTAAGGGCCAACGAGATCGCCGCGAAACTCTGCGAAACGCTTGGCGATGACCTTGGCGGCACTCGCTGCAGCGCGCTTGTCCTCCTTGGCCGGCGGCCCGCAGAAAGGGTACCGCTGCAAGGGTGGCCAGCCCAGCTCCTGGCGAGTCTGCAGCCCATAGCTGATATTTGCCAAGACGTGCAGCGGATTTGCGTCTCCAGAGGCTTTGCCGAGCTTCTTCAGCAGGGCAGAGATGAAGGCCGGGATCGTCTTCGCCAGGCGCTCCGTGGTCCAGGGACCGTTCACCGCGGTGAAGGGGAGCACCGCGTGGGTGCCCGACTGCATCCAGTCGTTGAAGATCTTGTGCTCTGGCGGCAACGCGGTCACCGACAGAGAGATCGCCGTCTGCAGAAGAACAAAAAGAGGCATGACCATAAAATGTTGACTCTCCGCGCGGATTTCTTGGATCTGCGCTAAGACCCCCTCCCTGGCGGAGATCTCAGAAACATCCGCGCGGAGCGTCAAAGTTTATGTGCATGCCGTGTTTTCTCCTTCGCGTCTGAGTGGCGATGACGTGATGAAACCAGTTCGCTGGAATCCGCCACCGTGCCTCTGGGCACGAGGTGGGCGTGTTCTCAAGTCCTTTGCCAAATCCCCTGAGCCTCAGTCCTCAGTCATCAAAACTCCTCAAAGGGCCCGGGCCCAAAACTCCGAAATCTTCCGGGGCCCGGCGCGGTTCCCCTGGGCTCCCCCGCATCTCGTCGCGTGACAGTTTTGGGGCCCACGAGTCGGCTACACGCAAGAGTGACCCTACTGGCAAGAGTGACCTTTCGGTGCGCGGACCAAGGGGGCGCAAGGTGGCCCAATCCAAGCGCGCAAGCGGCCGTTATCGCATCACGCCCAGCGGCAAGGGGGACCCCGACGAGCCCGCACCGCAGGTCACCCCGGCGAAGGGTCACTCTCACGTGCAGTCGAACGAGCCCAGCACGGTGGCGGGATTAGGGGAACGAAAACTAGCCCACAAACATAAACCTCGGAGGTCCGCGCGCATTTCTTGGATCCGCGCTGGACCCCCCTCCCTGGCGCGCGGAGCGCGCCAGGGGCGGCGCCGGAGGCGCCGCCAGGGGGCCCCAGCGCCGACCCGAGAAATCCGTGCGGACCTCCGAGTTGTTATGCTTATTTCATTGTTCGTTCCTCCAGGGATGGGCCGAAGGCCATCAGATAAACAAGGCCTGCCCGGGGCCCACCGTCGCACTCAGCACGCGGCCAGAGGCGCCCGCGCCACCCGGGCCCCCCTCCAGCCCGAAATGCCAGCGCGCCTGCCGCGCCAGCGGGTGCGTCCCAGGGTACGTGCCGAGGAGGTGTGCGTCGGCCGCCGGTGCGAGCAGCACCCGTTTCTCGCCGCCGAGCATGACAATCGAGGAGGCGAAAGACTCCTCCTCCGCCCCCCCCTCCTCCTCCCCCTCCTCCTCCTCCCCCTCCTCCTCCGCCTCCTCCCCCACCTCCTCCTCCTCCTCCTCCTCCTCCTCCTCCACCTCCTCCTCCTCCTCCTCCTCCTTCGGGTTCGGGGGACTCGGGTTGGCCTGACGGGGCCGTCAGGAAAATGACGCGACCCAATCTGAACTTTGACGCGAGCTCCCGCGCCCGTCACAAAGCGTCGGCAAACCCGAATACCGGCGAACTCGAGTCTTAGGCTTCCCCGAGATGAAGACGTTGTGGAAGCTGTCCATGTGCGCCGTCGAATAGGAGCCCGCGCTGCTGAGCCACAGGCTCAGCGACCGGCTCCCTGCCAGGGGGAGCTCGGCCAAGTGCTCCTGCTCGACATCGAGGTCGCCGAAGTGCGTTTTGATCGGGCCCCCGTAGCGCACGGCGCCGAAAGGGGAGCCCTGGCCCTTCCGCAGAGCTGCGAAGAAGCCTCGCTTCTTACCCGTGACCTTTGTGTACCCCTGCCCCGCGACGCCTACGTCCCTCACGATCGGCGCGAGGAGGCTGTTGTTGTCCCAGTATGCAAACTCGCCACTGGACGACGCGTCGAATGTGATACTCCCCGAGGTGAGCTTCTCGAGCTGGTCGATGTCGCCCATCCGGGCCAGGCTGCCCCAGTGCCGCAGGCCCTCCAGGCCGCCGATGGCGAACGGACAGCGTATTCCGTCGGGGAGCCTCAGCTGCCTTGCCGGAGGACGCCAACGGCACACCGACACCGATCCTGGCCAGGCCCATCCGGCGCGGAGGCCTGGCCTGGCCATGGTCGGTGTCGGTGTGTAGCTTGCGTCCCCCCATGCCTGAGCTGATGAAGGCCCACCGTGGTCACCTGTTTCGTCAGCGCCCCTACCCCACAGGATCTGTCGTGTTCAAAGAGCGCTGATTTCCGAAGAGAGGTCTCAACAACAAGCTGGTTCAGCGCGGAAATGAACGATGAATTCTTACATATACCGATAAGAACATCCTTCGGGTGATAATGAGGTTTGGGGGGGAAGGGGGAGGCGATCGACTTGCGATGGCTCTGAGTTCCTGGTGGTGGATGGTGGTGCTACTCATATGTATTATATAGACATACATATACACATATATATATATATATATATTATATATATATGTGGATTCCTCTCTCTCTTTCTCTCTCTCTCTCTCTCTGTCTCTCTGTCTCTCTCTCTCTCTCGTTCTCTCTCTCCCTCTCTCTCTCTCTCTCTCTCTCTCTCTCTCTCTTTATATATATATATACACATATGTATATGTTCGTCTGTATATATATATGTGTGTGTTTATGTCGAAATATATGTATGTGTATACATATACAGGATTATACATATAGTTCCTTCTCTCTATATATATATACCTTGAGATCGAACAATATGTCGGTCTATAGATATGGATCTGTGTATATATATATATATATATAGATAGATCCCTCCATATACCTCTCCCTGTATATGTATATATATATATACACAAGACTGCAGTGGCGCTTCGCACCATGCACCTTGGTCCTTGGTTTGCATGCGGAATAGCAAGAAGATCAAGCCGACAAGTTAGCGATAACTCCTTGTTGCCGTTTCCGGCATCGCCGCTATGATAATGATATTCGTCATCCTTCCTCCATGTTTTTTTCCTCATGTTCGCCATACCCTGCGCATTCTCCCTATCCTCCTCAGCTTTTTTTTGCGGAGGCTCCTCCTGGGCCTCTGGGGGCCTAAACAAAATGGTCTCATGCTTTCCTAAGGCCTTCTGGAGGCCTCCTGGGCGTATTCTGGGGGCCTCTGGGGGCTTCCTCGGGCCACCCTGCCTCCAACCACGGTCTCCCTGAACGACCGGGTCACGATTTGGAATGCTTCGGAGGGTGTCTTGGGGCCATCTTTGGCCGCCATGGGGCTCTCTGAGGGCCATCTTGGACCCGTGTTGTGTCGTTTTGGGGCTCTCTTGGACTGCCTGGAAGCCCTTTCGGATGGTTGTGGGGCGATTTTGGAGCCTCCCAGGTGGCTTCGGACGCCCAGAAGACCGCCGTCTTGGAGCGTCGGGAAGCCGAAAAGAGGAGAACCCCAAAATTCACCAAAAACTACCAGAAAATCAATGATTTTTGCCTCTTCGGAGTGCTCTTGGAGGCCTCTTTGGGGCCGTCCTGGGGGCCTCTTGGGCCATCTTGAGGTCACGTCGGTCACTCTTGGAGCGCTCTTGCGCTGTCATGGGGGTCTCTGAAACGTCTCCGATGACCCCCCTGATCGCCCTAGGTCTGCTGGGAAGGCTTGGCAAAACGCCCTGCGAGGCCAGGGGGGCCGCTTCGAGGTCCGCCTGGAGGGTCCCAAAGCCAAAGCCCCAGATCCCGGGAGTCCGGTTTTGGGGGGGGGGGGGGTGATGGGTTTTCCCCCCGCCCGGGCTTATAAAAAATATAGGAAGAGGAATATACATGAATATATCACTATATCTATCGATCACCATCAGGACAACCATCGGGGCAACCATCGGGACAGCCGTCAGGACAACCACCGGGGACAACCATCGGGACAACCATCGGGACAACCATCGGGACAACCGTCGGGACAACAATCGCGACAACCGTCGGGACAACCAATGGGACAACCATCAAAACAACCATCGACTCGACCATCGGGACAACCATCGGGACAACCGCTGGGACAAACATCGGGACAGCCATCCGGACAACCATCGAGCACACTATCGGGTCAACCATCGGGACAACCACCTGGACAACAATCGGGAAAGCCATCGGGACAAACATAAGGACAACCATCGGGACAACCATCGGACACCATCGGGACACCCCCCCGGACAGTCATCGGGACAACCATCGGGACAACACAATCGGGACAACACCATCGGAGCCACCATCGGGACAAACTTCGGGACAACCATCGGGACAACCATCGGAAAGACCGTCGGGACAACCGTCGGCACAACCATCGGAGCACCATCGGGTTAACCATCGGGACAACCATCGGGACAACCGTCGGGACAACACCATCGGGACAACACCATCGTAACCACTATAGGGACAACCGTCGAAACAACCACCATCGGGCACACCATCGGGTCAACCATCGGGACAAGCGTCGGGACAACCATCGGGTTAACCATTGGGACGAGCGTCGGGACAACACAATCGGGACAACACCATCGGGACAACCATCGGGACCACCATCGGGACAACACCATCGGGACAACACCATCGTAACCACCATCGGGCCAACCGTCGAAACACCCATCGGTACACCCATCGGTACACCCATCGGGACAACCATCGGGACAACCATGGGGTCAACCATCGGGACAACCATCGGGACAAGCATCGGGTCAACAATCGGGACAACCATCGGGACAACAATCGGGACAACCATCGGGACAACCATCGGGACAACCGTCGGAACAGCCATCGGGACAACCATCGGGACAACCATCGGGACAATCATCGGGATAACCATCGGGACAACCATCGGGACAACCATCGGGACAACCGTCGGGACAACCATCAAGACAACCCGCGGGACAACCATCGGGGGCCGCGCCCTGCCAAGGGGGGGGGGCGGGGGAGGCGGGCGACCTTTACGGCTTCACGTGGCGTCCACAACTGCAGAAACTCGCGCAGCTTCGCCTCGCCCGCACGCACGACGCGAACCGAAACCGAAACCGATTTCCCAGTTGGGGCTGCTTCCGTTCACACCCCCCCCACCTTCGATGCAGACATACATGCATCCATGCATGCACGCATGCATGCACACAGGCAGACAAACAGACAGACCGATTGAAACACAGTCAGACTGACATATTGACAGGCGGACAGACAGGCATGCAAGCAGACAGACAAACAGACTGACATGCATACATACATACTTGTATGCGTGCATGCACGCATGCATGCGTGTTTGCATGCGCGCGTGCATACAGACGTACATGCGTACAAACATAGATACAGACAGACAGACCGACTAACGCACACGCACGCGTGCACATGCACACACACAGATACAGGCAGACATAGAAACTTGCATACTTACTTACCGACATTTTTCCCTGGCGAAGCTAGACGGGGAACCAGAGTTCAACACATGCATACAAGCATCAGGAAGTCTGGGCTTGGCTGAGAACGAGGGCGGCGAGACTCACCTTCCCTCGCAAGCGCTTCCGCGGTCGCACCTCCCCCCATTTGATGGCACTAGGGGGCGGAAGGGGGGCCGTTTTCAAGGTACTCAAAGCCCCTCCGAATGGAGGATCGGTGGGGGGGCACCGTTGATTGAAGCGCCCGCTTCTTTGCAGGCTGGCTGGCTCGAGGCTGCGTCAACCCCCGCTTCTGGGCGGCGCCTCTCAAGGCTTTGTCTTCAGCACTCGCGGCCTCAACATCGCGAGGGGGCAACGGAGGGACAAGACCAGCCAAGAACAAGTCTCTGTACACTATGGACCGTCTGCCGCGGCGCCGCGGTTCGATTGCGCGGGCAAGCTGATGTGGGCGGGATGCGAACTTGAGCCAGCAAACTGGGCACACGCCTGAGGAGGGGGGAAACTGACAGAGAGGGGACCGGATCTTGTGTTTAGCCCTCTGGTGGGAGGCAAGTGATTTCTCCGTGGCGAATGTCTCACGCAGCAGTAAGTCGCGACACGTCGCGAATTTCTCGCGACCTACTGACGTACATATATCCACCGGCCCCCTTGCGGGGCCAGTCGGCTACAGGCTTGGGTCGCTGCTCCCTGCACCAGCTGCAGTTTTAAATCTGCAATGCTACAATCCTGTTCCCTGTTTCCTACTGTAGATTGTTGAAGTCCGCGCGAGGGGGGGGCCCAAACAAGCACGCTTGCTACCCACAAATGGCGCTGCCTGAATTCCTGAGGGGGGGGCGTGGGACCCGTGCAAATACGCGAGGCCCGCGCCCCCGAAGCCATCATTCTTCGCAAATTACACCATGATCGCGTCCCCGAAACCACAAACAATATTGAAGATAACGCAACTTTTTGTAAATTACACCATCGCGGGCGCCGCCCCGCCCCCGGGCCGGCGCCTGGACCTCCTCGAGGGCTTCGCGGCGCGCGCCAAAGCCCGGGCGGAGGAGCCGGCGGAGGACGCGCATCGCAGAATGATGACGACGATGAAGACGACGACGAGGGAGCAGGAATAGACGAGGAAAAGCTGGAGGAGGGGGGGCGACGGAGGGAAATTAAGCAAAGAGACCGTCCACGGGAGCGCGCTCCGCAGTAGGGCCAGCCAGGGGGGTGCCAGCTGCATTTTCTCCATGGGGCCGCGCTCCCGGGCAGCCAGGGACCGACGGTCCTCCATGATGGCCTGGGACACGCGCGCCTCCGCCGCGAGGTTGGCCTCCGCCGCGCGCGCCTCTTCCGCGCGCTCGGCCTCCTCCGCCACGCGCGCCTCCGTCGCGCGCTCGGCCTCCCGCGCGCCTCCGCCGCGCGCTTGGCCTCCGCCACGCGCACCTCGGCCGCGCGCTTGGCCTCCGCCGCGCGCGCCTCTGCGACGCGTTTGGCCTCCGCGTCCGCCGAACGCGCGGCGGAGGCCAAGCGTTCGGCGGCCGCGCGCTGGAGCTCGGCCACGCGCTCGGCGTCGGCGTTGCGTTCGGGCGGCGACCTCGGCGCGGGGCGGGCGCCCCCGAGCTCACAGCCGTTCTCAATGGTGCGCTGGCGATCTCGCTTCCGCATGTCCACCCTATGTCGTTTCATGACTGGACTGCAAATGGCTCGAACCATAACGCCACATGCGCGCGGGGGGCGGGCGAGGTGACCCACAGAGGGCCGCTTGCCGCTGGTTTGTTTTCCAACTATCCTGCGGTCTTCGGCCCTCGTTTTGACGAGACACCAACGGGCGGGTCACCCGTTGGTGCGAAAGGCAGGAGACTAGGAGGGGGGTCGGAGATGAGGAATGGGAGGGAGGACGGCGCCACGAGGCCAACGGGCCCCACAGGGGCCCGCGGCCGCCCCCCCGCGGTTTTCGCCCCGTGCGCCGAGCGAGGAAAACCCCGAACAGACGCGAAAACCGAACGAGACTGGCCCCCGAAGGGCGGCCAGCCGTTTTTCAGCCAGGGGATGAACCGAAAAAACCTGTCTCTCCCTCCTCCCCCCCTCTCACTCTCCCCCCCCCCCCCTCGCCCCCCCTCGCCCCCGCCCCTAGGCAGAGAAAGTGCGCCGCGGCATCTGCGAAAGAAGCCGCCGCGCGCATCCCGCACAAAACCCCCGAGGCCCCCGCGACCAACAGCGCAATGCCCACGCACCAGGAGCAGGATGAGCAGGAAGAGGAAAATCAGCAGGAGGACCAGCAGGAGCACCAGGATCATCACCAGGAGCAGCACGAGGAGCAAGCAGGAGGATCAGGTGTTGTGCACGCGCAATCACACGCGCCGGACTCCCTGGGACTGCGAACATTGCTGCGCTTGCCTACCACGACAAGCCTGCGCGCACACCACAACGCTGGCAGCCACGAGCAACAAAGCAAAACTGCGCCCCTTCGAATGCCGCGCTTCGAGCACCGGCCGCGGCGAACCGACCCACCAACTGGCGGGTCACCCGAAAACTGGCTGGGGAAAACCAAACGTTTCACTAATATTCCGGGTAACATCACGATTTGCTGCATTCGTATTCCGCACGTACTTCGCGTGCACCGCGCGCCGCGCAAGTGACCCACCGACGCGCGGGTCACTCGACGGGCGGGTCACTGGACAATTGACTGGGGAACACCCATTGTTTCACTAGAATTCTGGGCAACTCCACGACCTGGTGCACTTGTATTCCACGCGCTCCCCCTGCGTACCGCGCGCCGCACAGGTGACCCGACGACGGGCGGGCCCCCCGAAAACTAACTCGGAAAAAGTTGCACTAGCATTCTGGGCAACATCAGAAGTTGGCGCGTTCGTATTCCACGCGCTCCCCCTGTGCACCGCGCGCAGCACAGTTGACCCACCGACGGGCGGGTCACCCGAAAACTGACGGGGGAAAATCCCCGTAACACTAGCATTCTGGGAAGCTTCACGAGTTGGTTCATTTGCATTCCATACGCCCCCCCCCGTGTACCTACCGCGCGGCGCACAGGCGACCCGACGACGGGTGGGTCACCCGAAAACTGGCTCGGAAAAAAACAAATGTTTCACCCGCTTTCTGGGAAACACCATGAATTGCTGCATTTGCATTCAATGCGCTCCGCCTGGGCACCGCGCGCCGCACAGGTGACCCACCAACGGGCGGGTCACCCGAGAACTGGCCGGGGGAAAACCATTTGTTTCACTAGCGCGCCGGGCAACATCATGAGTCGGTGCATTTGCATTCCACGCGCTCCCCGCGCGCAACGGCCGCCGCGCAGGTGACCCACGGGGCGCGCTCGAACGCCCAACCAACCAAACAACCAGCCAACCAACCGGAATCAGCCAACCAAACAGCGCACGCGGAGAATTACATTGAATAGCAGATAGGCGGGGAGAGGGCGAGAGGGACAGCTGCGGCAGCAGCGGCGGAGCTGGGTGGCTGATGGCAGCTGGGCGATCAGGCTAAGAGGGGCAGAAGGGGGGGGGGGGGAAGTCGAACTCGCCCCCTGGGGGGCCGTTGCGGGAACGGCATCATTGGGGCCCGCATGCTAATCCTAACTAGCCCGCTACTCCTACCCAGGCCGAGCCATTCCCACCTATTTCTAGCTGTCCCTAGATATTCCGAACCGAGCCATTCCGACCTACTCCTAACTACTCCGTCCTATTCTCAGCTTCAACCTAGACCAACCTACGCCTACTTATTCTTACAAATTCCTACTAATTCGCGGTTGTCCTACCAATTCCTAGCTATTCTTACCTAGCAGTATCGATTCCTAGCTATCCCGACCTATTCCTAACTATTCCTAGCTATTCGCACCTTCCCCTAGCTACGCCGAGCGACTCCTCGCCATGCGTAAATATCATTAGATTCAAAAACATTCCTAGCTGTTCCCCCTAAGCATTCCAAACTATCCCGCGCCATTCCGACGTTTCAACACCTATTCTCACATATTCCTACCAGTTCCTTGATATTCCGGCCCATTCCTAACTATTCCTAGCCAGTCCAATCCATTCCTATTTATTTCTACATATGCCGACCTACTCCGAGCTCCGACCTACTCCAAGCTATTCCTACCACTTCCTAGCTATTCTCACCTGTGCCCCTTCGGTCCTAGATTGTCCTACCAAGTCCTAGCTATTCCTACATATCCCAAGGCATTCCTCCCTAATCCTACTTATTCCCAACTATTCCCACCTACTCCTGCCTACTCCTAGCGATTCCTAGCGTTCCCTAACTATCCCAAGCTAGCCCTACCTATTCCGAGCCATTCCTATTCATTCGCGCCCATACCTAGCTAACGCCGAGCTCTTCCTAGCTATGCGCACTTATTCCTCGCTATTCCGACCCATTCCTACGCAGTCCTAACCCATACCTAGTTATGCATACAAACTCCCACATATTCCTAGCTAGTCGTACGAAGTCCTACCGATTCCGACATATTCCAAGCTATTCCTAGCTGTTCTCAGCTTCTCGCCCCTACTGTAAGCCATCTGTACACGTGCCCCACCTATGTCTAACCATTCCTACCAGCACCCTGGCGCAAGCACGCTGAGCACGGGCGTCGGAGTGGCCGAGAAATCCTTTACGGGGCAGGAAATACTCGCCGACACAATCGATGCGCCAGGCGGGATGCAGCCGAATCGCGTCAAAAACATGTCGATAATGATCTCGTTCAAGTCATGCGGGAGCAGATTGCCCCTGAGCGGCTGGTTGTCCGCGCGCAGCTTACGAAGTTTCGCAACGGCCAGCCTCGGCGTTCCCTCGCGCTTCGGCTCCTACATGAGATGGAGGAGCTGTTCCTGCGTCATCATTGGCATCGGCGCGGCCGGCACCGCTGCAGCCAGCGGCTCCGCGTCGTCCACGGGAGGATCTTGCAAGGGCGTCTCGGGCGCAGGGTCGCCCTCAGCCTGCGCTTCGGCGTCGCCCAGGATCGGAGCTGGCGCGGCGGCGGGCTGAACTTCTTCTCTGGCCTCGCCAGGGTCGAGCTCGCGGGCCTCGACATCCAGGTGCAAGCTGGGCACCGACGGAGAGCTGCTCGACGAAGACGTCGACGAAGACGACGAGGAATCCGCGTCGGAGTCCACGTCCGGCCCAGGAGCATCCACTGGCTCCGCTGGCACGTCGACCCACCTGCTGGCTCGCAGATGCGCCAAAAAGGAAAATCTTCAGATAATGTCGCCCCGACTGGAGGCGCCTTCCAGTCAGGCCCACCTCGGATCTTGACAAGGTCATCGTTGGTGCCGTCCACGGAAGGAGCGCACCCAGAAGCCCATCACGCCTTCTGGACGGCGGGCCACTGAGGCGTAAAAAGCTTGACCGCAGCTTCCCCGTACCAACACGTGAGAAGCACCCTGCGCTCGCTGGCGGTCAAGGAGCCATTCTTCCACGCTCTCCATCTTTTCGTTCTGAGCAGCCAGCCGTCCTGCTTATGCCGCATCCACTCCTTCCGGGCTGGATGGAGGACGGGCAGGAGGAAAGGGGGAGGAGGGGGGAGGAGGAACAGGAGGGAGAGGAACGAGCGTGAAGGAGGAGGAACAGCAGGATAAGCCCCTGGGAGGCCCCAAGAGGCCCCGAGAGGCGCCCAAGACGCGCCCAAGAGGCCTTGACGAGGCCCCGAAGATACCCCACGAGGCCCCAAGAGGCCCCCAAGAGGCGCCCAAACCGCCTCCAAAGAGGCCCCCGTGAAGCTCCCCACGACCCCCCAACCCATATACAAGAGGCCTCAGACCCACAGCCCAGGCACGGTGGCGGGATGGACCGAAGGCCACTAGGGTCCGCCGCCCCCTTTGATTGATCAAAGGGGTGCCTGGCGTGCAGGATGGTATGGCTTTTGGTTTTGGTTCTTTTTCCAAAAGAACTCCCCTGGGGCTTTGGCCCGTCCTGCCGGGGTCCCGGGAGATTCCCGAAAATCCGTCCGTCAATGCCTTTGTTTTCCCAAGTTGGCCCAAAATGGTCTCCCAGACGGCCAAGATGGCCCAGGATGGCCTCCAAGATGCCTCCAAGACAGCCAAGATGGTCTCAAAGACGTCTAAGATGGCTCCAAGATGCACCCAAGACGGCCCAAGATGGCCTCAAGATGGTCTACGACGGCCCAATAGGCCCGCAAGAGGCCTCCAAGACGGCCCAAGATCCTCGAAGACGTCCTCCAGGAAGGCCCGACGAGGCCCAAATCATTGATTTTCCGTAGGTTTTTGAATATGTTTGGCATTTGCGCCTTTTCGGCGTTCCGACGGCCCAAGACGGCCCAAGAGGCTCCCAAGATCGCTCCAAGATCGCCCAAGAGGCCTCCAAGATGGCCCCATGACGGCCCCAGACGCCCCCACCCAAGACCGCCCCAACCTAGATGGCCGAAGTTGGCTCGAAGCTGGCCCAAGACAGCCCAAGAGGCCCCCAAGAGGGCCTCAAGGAAGGCCAGAAGCGGCCCAAAACATTGGTTTTCCTGGGGTGTTTGACGGATTTTGACATTTGTTCTTTTTCGGCCTTCCGACGGCCCGAGACGGCCCAAGAGCCCCAAAATATCGCCGAAAGATCGCCCAAGAGGTCTCCAAGATGGCCCCAGAACGGCCCAAGAGGGCCCCAGGACGGCCCCAAGAGGCCCCCAAGACGGCATAGGAGGCCTTTAAGACGCCCAAGATGGCCTCGAAGACGGCCCTGGAGCATTCCAAGAGGGCCCCAAGTCGGCCCATAGAGGCCCCCCAAACAGCTTCCGACGGCGTCAGACGGACCAGGAGCCCACGAATATGGCCGAACATGGCCCTAAGATGGCCCAAGACGGCCCAAGAGGCCCCCAAGAGGGCCCCCAGGAAGGCCCGAAAAGGCCAAAATCATAGATTTCCCATTGGTGTTTGAAGGATTGTGGCATCTGTTTTTTGTTCTACCTTCCGACTGCCCGAGACGGCCCAAGTGCCCCCAAAGATCGCCCACGGGGACCAAGACACGGCCCCAAGAGGCCCCCAAGACGGCCCAAGAGGTCTCCAAGACGCTCAAGATGGCCTCCAAGACTGCCCAAGAGCCCTCCAAGACGTCCTCCAAGAAGGCCCGAAAACGTCAAAATGGCCTCCAGACGGCCAAGATGACCTTCAAGATGCCCACGTGTTCCCCGCAGGCTTTCCAAACCGATTCGGGGAACACATGATCCGATAGCTTGGCAGGTCTGGCCTCAACGTTCGGCCACATAGGCGCGTCCAAAAAGGCAGGGGGCGGCGGTGATTCGCCGTAGGCGTCTTCGATAACGCCAAAGTGCCGATGTGCGCTGATGATTCCCATCCGCCCCCGCATGATGTTCCCAGATGCGCCAAGGCAGCGCCGAGACGCACCGACGCGACTCTGATAGATCCCATTATGATAGAGAGAGGGCCGGCGGCAGGGGGCGAAACCCTTACGGTATGAACAAACATACATACGTACATACACACATGCATGCATACATACAGACAGACATGCATACAGACAGACAGACAGACAGACAGACAGACAGAAAGAAAGGCACGCAAACATACAAGACCTTCATGCATATACGCATGGTACATACAATGCATACACACAAACATACAAAACCTTCATACAGGAACACAAGCATACAGGCACATATGCATACATACATACATGCATTTATACATACATACACGCATGTATACACACATACCTTTATATAGACATGCATGCATACATGCATGCATACATACATACGTACACATAAATACGAATCTACATACGTACATACTTGCATATATACATGTCTACAATCGTTCAGGTCGACAGACATAAATGCATACAGTCATGCATACATACATCTATATGTACATACATGCATGCATACACGCATACATACATACATACATACATACATACATACATACATACATGCATACCGACATACCTACCGAACTATCTACCTGCAGACATACCTCTATGCATACATGCATACAAACATACATGCACGCATGCATGCATGCATACATACACACATACAAACATACATATATACATAACATGCATGCATGCATGGGTGCGTGCATACATACATGCATACACATACATGCATACGTAGATACGTATCTACATGCATACATGCATATGTACATGTATACCCACATACAGACAGGCATACATACATTGAAACATGCGTGCATCCATGCATCCATGCATACAGACATGCATGTGTGTATGCATGCGACATACATACATATAAGCATACATGCATGTATGCATACATACATGTATGCATGCATACATACGAACATACATGCATGCATGCTTACCGACCTACATACCAACCTACCCACCTACCGACCTACATCTATGCATACATACATACATACATACATACATACAGAGAGACAGGCAGACAGACAGATATGCATACGTGCATACATGCATACATGCATGCATACATACATACATACACACACATACAACACACACACATACATACAAACATACATACATACATACATATATACATACGTACGTACGTACGTACGTACATACAGACATACATACATACATACATACACACACACGTATGTGTGACTGGTGGTCCGCGTGCAAGAGGCAGGAGGGGGCTGAGAGAAACGAACCCTGGACTTCGGCGCTCCTCCCCGGGACTGGCTCGTCATCCCGAGTCGTGTGGACGAACCCAGCTCAGCGCAAACCTGGCTAAGCTGATTTAGAACAAAATGCGCTGCAATTTTGGGGAAGGCTTCCAAAGCCCAGCTCAGCCAATACGCAAGGCCCACCCAAACTGCCGCGAGCTGCTCCCGAACCTGGCTCAGCCAAAATCCAGCATCGCAGGATCGTGGAGAATCCGGCGTTCTGGCGGAGCCCCGTTTGACCCGAACCCTGATTACCTGCTGACTAAGTTTCCGGCAGCCCAAGGACCTGAGGAGGGCTCCGGGAGACCGAAAACGGCGAAGCACCTCAGGGCCCCGTTGCCCTGAGGACCCGCAGTTTGCCCCACGGCCAGGCCTGCCCAGGCCGCTGGGTGGTGCCCTCGCCGCACCTGCCGGAGTGCAGCGCCGCCACGTCCTCGGGCCCTGTGGGGCGGGCGGGGCGGCACGGACTGACAACGGCACTGGGCACCTGATTCAACTCCTCCTGGGGGCAGGGACGGGGCGGGGGAGGGGGGTCCACGGCAACAGCGGGAGCGGGAAGGGAGGGAAAGAGAGGGGCGGGGCCCAGTGGAGGCGGGAGGAAGAGGAGGAACGGGGAGGGGAAAGGGGAGAGGAAGGAGGGGAAGGGAGAAAGGGAGGAGAGGGAGGAGAGGGAGGAGAGGGAGGAGAGGGAGGAGAGGGAGGAGAGGGAGGAGAGGGAGGAGATGGAGGAAAGGGAGGGGGAGGGGACAAGCTAGGTGCGGTCGCGCCATATCTGATACCCTACCCATCCCACCCATCCCTTCCCAATGCACCGACCTTCCCTGTCTGCCGACGAGCGCCTTGGATGACCTGGATGGCCAGGATTGCCCCGTCGTGGGACGCACAATCGATGTTAGCCAGCGTGGATCCCTAACAGTGCGTTTCGAGAAATCTACATGTTACTATCTATGTGGTGCAATCCGAGGGTGCGAGTCTAAGCGGTACAACTAACGTGGTGCAGTAGATGTGGCGCAAAAAACTATGCGGACCAACCTGTGTGGTGCGACCGATGTGGCGCACTAAATGATGTGGAATACACGTGGTGCAACGTATGTGCTGCAACCCTATAGTGAAGTACGTGTGGTGTAATTGATACGGAACCCGGGACGCGTTGCAGTATACAGGGTGCAGTCTCGGTGGTGCAACCATGCAGTGCAATCTAGGTGGGGCAATCGATGTGGTTCAATATATGCAATACAATACGTGTTGCGCACTCCAAGAAGAGCAATATATGTTGTACCATGTATGTTTTACCAGCTATATCGTGCACTCTGTGTTCTACCGCCTACGTGGATCATTCTACGTTGTGCATAACATGTAGTGGAAACCATGTGGTGCAACATGTGTAGCACCACCTATGGAATCCAATATTGGTTGTGCGATTGGTGTGGAGCCGTATACGTTGCACAATCTCTGTGGTCCAATATGTGGTGTAAAATATGTTTCTATGCCATATATGTTCTGTGGATAGGTTGTGCAGTCTAAGTGGTACAAGACATCTGGTGAAAATATATGTGGTGCGATCTACGTGCTGCAACATGTGCTCTGCAGTTTATGTGGTGAGATGCTGTGCAATATATGTTGCGCAATCTACGTGGTGCAATCTAAGTGGTGCAACCTGCGCTGTACACTCTATGGTATGCGATATGTGGTGTGCAGCACCAGTGGTGCAATCTACATGGTGCAACGGAAGTGGAGCCATATGTGGCGTTATATATATATATACAGATGTACATACATGAGCGTGGTGCATTATATGTGTTGCGACCTACGTGGCGCAACCGATGTTCCACAATAGATGTTGCACAACACATGTGGCACAACCAATGGTATGCAAAATACGTGGTACAATCTAGGTGGTGCAATCCACTTTTACCGTCTTGAAGCTGTCCTCTCCACTGCTCGTGCAAACATCCCACCTCTTACCCGCAACTTGGTCGCAAAACCTCTTAAGACAAGACCGTGACGGTAGGTACCGCATGGCACTTGGCCACGGCACCGACGCCGACGACGGCCGACAACGACGACGACGGCGCCGCCGACACCGACTTCGACGACACCAACGACGTCTCCAACGACTTCGACGACGACAACGACGACGACGACGACGACACCGACGACGACGACGACGACGACGACGACGCCGACGACGACGACGATGACAATGCCGACGACGACGACGACGACGCCGACGACGACGACGGCGACGACGCCGACGACGACGACGGCGACGACGCCGACGGCGACGAAGACAACGACGACGACGACGACAACGACGCCGCCAACGAAGACGACGACGACGACGAGGGAGGAGGGAGGACGACGACGACGACGACGACGACAACGACGAGGGAGGAGGGAGGACGGCGACGACGCGAACGACGAAGAAGGAGGGAGGACGGCGACGCCGACGACGACAACGACGAGGGAGGAGGGAAGACGACGACGACGACGACGACGGCGACGAAATAGGAGGGTCGACGACGAGACGCCGACGACGGACGACGACGTCGAGGGAAGAGGAAACAACGACCACGGCGACAACGACGACGGAAACGACGACGACGCCAAGACGACGACGACGACGACGAGGAAAGACAGAGAACGACGGCGCCGACAACGACGACGACGGAGGAGGGAGGACGGCGACGACGACGACGACGACGCAACAGCTCGCGCGGAAACTTGTTTAGCAAATCTGTGTTGCGAAACCTTGTTTTTGCAGGTTTTTTGGACACACGATTTTGAAATCCTTCCGGAACCGATGGGTTTTGAAAGTTTCCGGCATACGCGCGCGACGACGCGCGCGTCTGCACTTCGTCCCGTTATTTGCAGAGGATTCTCGCGACGGCACACGCGCCAGGGCGTTCGACAGATTTCGACATGCGCGCGCGCGAAGCCCGTTTGGTAGCATGTTTTGAAAATCTTGCAAAACCGATGGTTTTCTTCAGATTTCGCACGAGCTCGCGCGGAAGCTTTTTTAGCAATGCCGTGCTGCGAAATCCTGTGTTGTTGTATGTTGTTTGGAAATTCGGTTGCGAACTCCTTCCAGCACCGAAGGTTTTTGAAGGATTTCGGCATGCGCGCGCGACGACGTGCGCGTGCGCACTTCGTCTCAGTTCTCTTGCAAAGGATTCGAGAAAAAAGTGTTATGTTAGAACAAAAGATGTCAGCGCATAGTGTTTTTTAAAGGGAACCTCAGACGGGGGGGGGGGGATACCGGCCCCCCGGGGATAGTGTAAATTCATATTTAATATGATTAAGATGGACATGTGGTCAGAATCATGTATGATTTACATACCCGAAAGGGGGAACGATAACTTCGGGGGGGTAGATCCTATTCTGATTTTCAAAAGGAGAATTAATCAATGGTCAATTTGAAATTGTCCACCCCACTGCCCGCGCAAACATCCCACCCACTCACCCGCAACTTGGCTTGCAAACCCCATGCGGCGGCGATTGCGACGAGTGCTTAGCGCTGGGTGGTGCAGCTCTGCGGCCGCGACAGCCCGCGCATGCGCGCGCGCAGCGGCCAGCTACTTTGGCGCGACCGACGCAGCCGCAGTGGCGCTGACCGCTGGGCACATCCCAGCGAGAACTTCAGTGCGAGTCGGCGACTAGGGCGGGCGCGGTACCCTGGCAACGTCGACAACGGTAGACACGGTGCTGATAGTAGCGATGGTGGTGACGATGCTGACGGCGAGTTCGACATGCGCGCGCGGCCGACGCGCGAGTGGCCCGCATGATATGATTTGACACGGATCGTGCCCCCCCCCCAGCACGCGCGCAAGGGCGTGCGAATGATGTCGGCATGCGGCGCGAGGGGCCCGCTTGGCAGAATTCCATGAAAACGTTTGACAACTATGGTTTCTCAAAAATTCGCAAGAGCGCGAGCGCACGCTTTTTGGAAAATTGATGTTGCGAAACCATTCATTGTTATGTGCGTGTGTTCGGCCTTCGGTTTTGAAATCGGCACGAAAGCTGGGAGGTCTTTGACGGATTTCGGCATGCGCGCGCGACGACGCGCGCGCGCACTTCGTCCCATCTGTTGCAAAGGATTCTCACGACGGCACGCGCGCAGGGGCGTTCGCACGCGAAGCCCGATTGGAATCATTTTCTCAAAAGTTGAAAAACCGATCGTTTATTTAAGGATTCGCAAGAGCGCGCGCACAATATTTGTTTGTTTAATCCGTGTTGCGACACTGTGCGTTTCTATATGTGTTTTGGACACTCGATTTTGAAATCCTTACGAAGCCGAACGTCTTCGAAGGCTTCCGGCATGCGCTTGCGACGACGCGCGCGTGTGCATGTCGTCTCTTTTTTTGCAAGGGATTGAACACGTATGGTTTGTGATAATCGACTGCGCGCGCATAGTATATTTTGCAGATGACGGCGGGGGGGCGATACTGGTTGGGCTGGGATGTAAGAACTCAACTTTAAAATGGACAATGGGCCAGAATGATCCGTAAATTGCAATACGGAAAAAAGGGGGTGATAATCCCAGGGGGGATAGACTCCCTTTTTTTTTAAGCAGGGTCTATGTGGTGCGATCGGTGTGGTGCAATCTATATGGTAGACTTGATTGACGATGAATGAGTTGGCACATCCCACGCAGTTGCGAACATCCCACCACCACCCACAACTTGGTTTGTAAAACCCATTCGGTCGCGATTGCGCTGCATGCTGGGCGTTGGTTGGTGCACCTTTGCGGCCGCGCCAACCCAAGCGCGCGCGCAGCGGCCAGCTAGTTTGGCGCGACCGACGCGGCCGCGGTGGCGCTGACCGCTGGGCGCATGCCAGCGAGCACTTCAGTGCGAGTCGGCGACTTGGGCGGGCGCGGTACTCATGGCAACGTCGACAAGGGTAGACACGGTGCTGATAGTAGCGATACTGGTGACGATGTTGACAACGACGAAGTGCGGGCGCCGATGATTACGCCGACGACGATGACAGCGTCCTCGCGTCGGTGATGAACGTTTTGGAAAGAGCTCGACATGCGCGCGCGGCCAACGCGCGACAGTGGCCCGCATGGTATGATTTGACACGGATCGTGCCCCCCCAGCACTCGCGCAAGGGCGTGCGAATGATGTTGGCATGCGGCGCGAGAGGCCCGTGTGGCAGAATTCCATGAACATTTCGATTGACACTTAAACCCAAAATATGGCTGTCTCGGCAAAAATCCAAGAGCGCAAGCGCACGCTTTTTGGAAAACTGATGTTGCGAAACCATGTGTTGTTGTATGTTTTGTGGGCACTGGGTTTTGAAATCGCTACGAAACCGAAGGTTGTTGACAGATTCCGGCACGCGCGCGCGACAACGCGCGCGCGCAGTTCGTCCTATCTGTTGCAAAGGATTCTCGCGACGGCACGCGTGCAAGGGCGTTCGAACGATTTCGACATGCGCGCGCGAAGCCTGTTTGATATCAACAAACGAACGGTTTCCTTAACACGAGCGCGCGCACAAGTTTGTTTTGAAAACACGTGTTGCGGGACCATGTGCTTTTGCATGTGGTTTGACACCCGGTTTAAAAATCCAATCGAAAATGAAAGATTTTGAAGGACTTGTGCGCGCGACGACGCGCGCGTGCGCACTTCGTCTTGTTTGTTTGCAAGGGGTTATTGAGAACTTATGATGTTTGACCAACGAATGCGCGCGAATAATATATGCTACAAAGGATGGCGGGGGGGGGCGATACCGGCTCGGCTGGGATGGTACGAGTTCAGATCTAGGACGGACGACGGTCCAGAAACATATGCAAATTGCAATACGAAAAGGGGATGGGATAAACCCCGGCGGGTAGAGTCTATTCTCTTTCTAGAAAACAGAATATATGTGGTACAATCTGTGTGGTGCAATATGTGTTGTGCAATCTATGTGGAGCGACGACAGTGGCGGCGAGGAGGCGGCGATTGGGCAGCGACGGGGCGGCGACAGCGGCAACATAGCCGCCTGACTGGCAGACAAGCCAAGTTCCCTAGAGCAGACGTAAGAAATCCTAAATGCAAGCACTGTTTGGGGAAGAAGGGGAATACGGCACATTAGACGAGAAGGAGGATGAAGAGGAGGAGGCTTCGGATGAGCAGGAGGATGAGCAGGACAAACATGAAAGGAGGACCGCACGCCACTGAGGGGAAGGAAAAGGGGGGAAAGAAGTCCCACAGTCCGCCACTGCCCCAGGGGGGCCCTTCAGAGTGGACCTTTGTCAACCAAGGGCAGGAAGGCCGACGACCCGCCCGAGGTCCGCGACAGAGCCCCCCTGGGATACAGTTCAGCAGACAGCCAGTTCATCCACGTCCTGCTCTTCAGAACGTTCGACTCTCACTCTAGGCTTCAACGCTTCACCTACATTGAGGCCGAAAGCTAGGAAGTCGGCAAGGCAAAACGTGCACCTTGGGCCCTCTCTGGTCCCAAACTCCTCACGAGGCTGGGCCCCCGAATCACTCGCGGGACACCCCAACAAAGCTCTCACCGCCCCCCCAGGATTATCCTTGGCCCGCTCGGCCAACCCTGGGGGCAGCACATCTCTCTGGCCTGCGGCGGAGGTGGGTTGGGCGGGGGGAGTAGTAGAGGCAGCACAACATGAGAGGAGGATGGGGAAGGAGGGGGGGAGGAGGAGAAGAAGAAGGAGTAGCAGCAGCAAAAAAAGGCTTTGGTTGTTATCAAACAGTGAGTGGATAACAACACTCCAGGATCGACTCCTGGACTTTGCCAGTCTCTCAGCTTTTGCCCAGGCCATGTGGAAAAAGGCCAGTGAGCCTCGAGCAGCATCACGGCAGCAGTCTAGCGGGCACGTATGTGTGTGTTTTTCCGCAACGCCCAGACGGATCTCAAGGACCTCCGAAGACCTCCCTGCTGGCGCGCGGCGCTCCGATCCCGCGGAGCCTCCCCGGGGCGAGCAGGAGCAAGAGGGGGGGGGAGGAGGATGGACCCGGATAGAAGAGCGCGCCGAGTTCGGGCGACAAACGAATGAGAGCAGCAGGAAAAAGGAGAGCAGCACAGCTCCATATCGCGACAGAAACCGAGGGCCCACGAGCTTGCGACCCAGAACACCTCCGACGAGGGCCTCATCACGGCCAGCGGGGCGGGGGAGGAGGAGGGGGGAGTAGGTAGGAGGGAGGAGGACGGGAGGAGGAGGCAGGGGCAGGAGGAGGAGGGTGAAGCGCCCCCCCCCCCCCCCCGCCACCGCGCCTGCTTCTCTGGGCGAGGCCCCCGCGGCCCCGGATCCGCGGTTCCCCGGCGCGGCGGGCCCGGGCCCGGCGGGCGGCGCAGCGGCTGCGCCCGACGGGCCGGCCGCGCGCCGGAGGGGCCCCCAGGCAGAAATGACCTTCCCAGACCCCCCCGCGGCAGGAAAAAATCACGACGGAAAGTTTTTCGCTGTTTTCGGCCTCTGGGGCCCCTTGCCGTGTCTCGGGCACGTCAAAAACGATTCAGGATGACGAGCCGGTCCAGGGGAATGGGCCGAGACCACTGGGGGTCGACGGTAAGGAAAAAGCAGAACGTCGGGCGCATTGAAAAAAACACGCTTCTCGGGGTGTCGGCCTCCATGGGCCTCCAACGAGCCCCGAGACCGTCAAAGAACGACCCTGGATGAGGAGCCGCCGCAGGGGATTGGCTCCGGACCTCCAGGGATCCACGTGGTGAGAAAATCACGACGTCGGGGGACTGGGCTAGGTGCACGGCATCAAGGGCGCCGTGGGGACGGAGACCCCGAGGCCTCCCCAATGGGGTCCGAGTACAGACTGGATGGGACCGATGCGGCGCGATCCTCCGACCCCATGTGCTGGGACCCCCTTCTGAAGGGAGGAGGGGGAGGAGGAGGAGGAGGAGGAGGAGGGGGAGGAGGAGGAGGAGGAGAAGGAGGAGGAGGAGGAGGAGGAGGAGGAGAAGGAGGAGGAGGAGGAGGAGGAGGAGCCTGGGGAGGAGCTTCGCGCGCGCAAGACACCGCTGGCGGGGGGGGGGGGCCGCAAAGGGTCACTCCTCCGGCGAAGGGCCTCTCTGACGCGCGGCCGCGACAGAGCAGAGAGGCCTGCCCTGGGCTCCGAGGGGTCCAGCGCCCCGAGGCCCCCGCGCCGCAGCCTCTCAGCGCCCCGGGCCTCCCGCGACCAACTTCGGGCCGTCGGGCCTTTCAAGGATCGACCCGGCCCGAGGCGCACCGCAGGAAGACCGGGCTCTGGGGCTCTGGCCTGAGTGTCTCAAGAGGCGTCGGATAACAGGAGGGGGGGGAGGGTCGAAGAGGTTCGAGGCTTCTCATCGTTGCTGGACTTCTCCGCGACATCCAGAAACTTCCCAGGCAATGTCCAGGGAGGTCACCGCTAAGGGGGCTGCCACCTCCTCAAGGGAACGGACACCTCTGGACCCTAAAACCCCCAGGACTCCCAAAGACGCCCAAAAACATCAATAAAAAACGATCCTAGACCGTACCTACTCCATCACTTTGCCTTTTGAAAAACCTCCCTCTCGCGCACCCAGACGTGTTGCTACGGCGGGCAGGCCGTTTTGCCCGAGAGCTCCTCGCCATGTGTGCTCGTGCAGCTTGAGATGTACCACGGCTTCACGGCCGGAGGGCGAGGGGTTTTCATTTAGCGCCGTCAATGGACCAGGGAATCCCTCGTCCTTCCTCCACCACCCTCCACCTTCCTCCTCCTTCCTCCCTCCTCCTCCTCCTGCCTCCTCCTGCCTCCTCCTGCCTCCTCCTGCCTCGTCCTCCCTCCTCCTCCCTCCTCCTCCCTCCTCCTCCCTCCTCCTTCCTCCTCCTCCCTCGCGCACGTTCGCCTGAAAAGCCTGCAAGAACCTCACGGGTGGAGGGCAGGTCGCTGTCACAGTGTGGCGGCCGCCCGAGCGCCGCGCACACGCGTCCCAGAAGCTTGAGAGAGCTCCACGGAGGGAGAGGTCGGGTCGTTCTCCAGGTGCGGTTCTCGCCGTGGGCGCCGCTCTCACTCGTCCTCGAAGTGCGCAGCAGCTTCACAAGAGACGAGGGGCAGCGCTCTTTCGAGCTGTGGTTCTCGCCTCAGCGCAGCGCGCATTCGCGGTGAACGTTTGCAACAGTTTCAGGGATCCGCGTGGTCCACGTCGCAGCAGGGCGTTCTGGCAAGACTCTGGATTGTCAGGACGCAACAATCACTTTGATTCGCAGTACTGAAGTCCACGAATAGTGTTCTAGCACGATTTAGGGTTGGCAAGTCGCAACAGTCACCTTTAATTCGCAATGGTGAAGTCCCAGGAATGGTGCTACGGCACGATTGAGGATACTGAGACGCCTGGCTTGATATGGGGCATTTCCCGCATGAAAATCAATTGTTGTAGGGCCCTGTGAAGAGGGAATTTGAGGGGAGGGTTTACTGCAGCATCGTTGTTACGTCTTGGGTTTACACTGGTCCTTCTCCTCCTCCTCCTCCTCCTCCTCCTCTTCCTCCTCCTCCTCCGCCTCTTCGTCGACCCTGGGTAACCATGAGAAGGTAGTACCCCCCCTTGTGTTGACCCCCCTGTCATTGCCTGAACCTCCGGAAGATCTCCTGGGATGCCGGGGCTTGTCAGAGCCATCCAAAAACGGCCCGGCATGACAAAGTGGTCCCCAGAGAAGGGGTCGAGAGCTCCAGGAGCCCACATCACGAGAAGGTCCTGAGGCGTCTGAGGCCGAAGTTCTCCGCCTCCTCCTCCTCCTCCTCCGCCTCCTCCTCCTCCGCCTCCTCCTCCGCCTCCTCCTCCTCCGCCTCCTCCTCCTCCGCCTCCTCCTCCTCCGCCTCCTCCTCCGCCTCCTCCTCCGCCTACTATTCATGATCCCCCTCTGGCCTGGACTCCGGACGGGCGCGGGGAACGAGACAGCACGGTGCCCAGGAGGGGGCCGGGTGGCCGGCTCTTCCCCAGGAGGAGGGGCCCAGCCGGACGGGGCCTCGTGGACACAACCACGGAGGGCGAATCGAATTGTGGAGGCGATCTCGGCGTCTGGGGGCCGTGTCCCGGCCCAAAGCAAACGAGAGAAGATAAAAAAAGGCCCTGGGGATTCGGTCGAGGGCTCCCGGGGCCCAGGAGGTGAGTAAAAAAAAACGCCGGAGACCTGGGCCCCAGCGCCATCGCCCCTCCCCCCTCCACCCTCACCCGCTCCCGTCGCCCCTCCACCCTCACCGCTCCTCTCCCATGGCGGTGCAACGCGCAGAGGGCATCTGCGGTCGGGGGCGTTTGCTCAGCGTGCCGCGCGGCGGCGGCCCCGGGCGACACGCTGCACCCTGCAAGAGGACGGGAAAAGCTCGGGACGTTGACGCTCGGGGTTCAAGGCTCAAGGTTCAAGGTTGGGCGCATCAGGATGGCTGGTGCAGCGCGCCCGGCGGGGCGCATGGCCCCTCACCTCTTCTTCTTCATTTCCTGTACGATCCTTTCCAGCGTTGTAGCCAAGTTGAAGCTCTTCCATCGCTGTCACGCTGCTGGGCGACGGCCTGCCACGAACACCACCCGCGTGACTGTGCAAAAGAACGTGATCCACCGCCGCTGTACTGTGGAAAATTGCCCCTCCTCCTCCGGAACCGGGGGGTCCCCCCCCCCCTCCGAAAATCCCCCCCCCCCCCCCCCCCCCCTCCCCCGGCAAACCCCCCCCCCTCCTCTAACCCCCCCCCCCCCCTCCCCCTCCCGCTCGAAAACCGGGGGGGATCACTACCGGTTCGACCCCCCCCCCCTCGAAAACCGGAGGGGGGGTCACTACCGGTTCGAACCCCTCCCCACCCCCCCCACTCACCGCCAGCAAACGACTCCCGGTCCCTACCACCGTCCGCGCCACATCCCCCACTGTTGTTCCCAGCACCACTGTCCTCACCACCACTGTCCCCACTGGTTCCACCACCGTCCCTACTGTCCCCACCAGTGCTCCCACCACTGTCGCACTGTCCCCACTGTCCCCACCACTGTTCCCACCACGGTTCCACTCTCCCCACTTTCTCCACGGCCCCAACCACTGCCCGACTATCCCCACTGTCCCCACTGTCCCACTGACTCCTCCGCTGTCCCACTGAGCTGTCCCACTGTTCCCACCACTGTCCCCACTGTCCCCACCACTGTCCCCACTGTACCTCTGTCTCATTGTCCCACCGCCGTCCTCGCCACCGCCTTCACCACTGTCCCCACCACCTCTGTACCCTCCACTGTCCCACTGTTTCCACCTCCCCCTGTCCCCACACCACTGTCCCCACCAACACCGTCCCCACCACTGTCCACTGTCCCCACTGCTCCCACCATTGTCCTCACCTCTGTCCCCACCACTACAGTCCCCACCACTGTCCCACTGTCCCCACCACTGTCCCGCTGTCCCCTCACCACTGTCCCCACCACCACCGTCCCCACCACTGTCCGCACCCCCCATCGGTTTTCGAGGAGGGGGGGGGGGGTCGAACCAGTAGTGACCCCCCCCGGTTTTCGAAGGGGGGGGGGGGTTCGAACCAGTAGTGACCCCCCCCCTTTTCATGATGAACTGGGGGGGGGGAGGAGGGGTTCGAACCGGTAGTGACCCCCCCCCGGTTTTCCGGAGGGGGGGGGAGGGGTTCGAACTGGTAGTGACCCCCCCCCGGTTTTCTGCCAGCAGCGGTAGAACACGCTCTTTCGAATGTGCATGTCTCTTGAATTCGTCCTCCCATCTGAACCACCGTGTCCGTGTGACGCTCGGGGACTGGGACGTGGCTAGCGTGTCGCGCCACAGCGCTGTGTGCCAAAAGCTCTGGATCGCATGCCTCCGTCGGGAGGTCGATGCAACTCATGGGGTCCTGGGGGCCCAGGATGGCCCTGGCAGGGCACGGTGCTTCGTTGATGCCTTGTGCGGGTCCAGAGGCTGCCCTGGATCGCAGCTCGATCGAATCGCTTGAACGCTCGAATCGATGGTGGGCAGCGGTTCCGAGCCGTTCTTGTATCATCTGCTCGATCGATCGAGCCGATCGACTCGATCGAATCATGGAACGATCGCCTCCGCATTGCTTCCCCTCCCCTCACCCATTGCCCCGCCCCCCTTCGAAGGAGCCCCCAGGGAGCTCCCAGAGAGCCCCAGGGAGTCTACAAAGAGAGCTCTGGGGGCCCAGAGAAAGACACAAGAGGGCCCCAAAGATGATTTTGGCTCCCTCTTCCAAACCAGCAAAAATCCAGGCGGAGAACCCAGCACTCTGAACGCGAGGCGACTATAAACACGACCGTTCAACGCACGAGAACACAGAGAGGTGTGCCGACTGGACGCGACTGGTGTCCTGGGTGGAGCTCCTTCGGGGGCAGGAGACGCGTAAGGGGCGTGCCGAAAAGGGCGC